TTTTTTTTCAGAACAAAAGTCTCATCTTTGATTTGAACTGATTCAAGGCCTTCATTAGCCGTCAGATTTTTTACGCCCCCAAAAATAAAGCACAAAATCTAGTCACATCGTCTCGAAAAGATTCCAAAGTTACAGTGAGACCGTATCGCCCACTTAAAGTCTTTGCAAAATGAAAATAAATGTCAGTTCACAGAGAAGAAGAGTGTTATCGACAAGATGGTGACAAATCAAGCCATTGTTGTGGGCGTGTCAGCTGAATGGGCGGAACCACGCCCTGCTCAGCTGTCAACTGTCAATCAAATACAGTACAACTGCTGACCTGGAAAAATGGATGCTACTTTGTCGAGCGTCTCCCTTAGGCTTACATCTAACTGCAGGCTCTTGAAAGCGGTGATATTTACGAAAGGAGAAGGCCTTACATTTGATAAAGGAGGCCCGAAAAAGGTGCAGATGTGACTCCCTGCAGACTCTGTTCTGCCATACGCTGGTGAGGATTTTTCGGCATAAATACCTTACCATTTTTTTCCATTGACAGTCATCGTAACTTGGCTAAAAGTAAACATAAAAAAAAAATCCACTGCTAAAAATCCATTCTGGGTGAAATTCTATACATGAAAGATAATTCATGTGTCAGTTTTCACGCGGGCTAAATATGCTTCACTTTGTGCATGCTGAGTGTATATGCTAAAAATAGACGTGAACGTGTGTGTGTGCGCGTGTGTGTGTGTGTGTGTCTACGTGTATGTGTGCGTGTGTGTGTGTGTGGTTGTGTAAAAAGGAAGTATAGTTCGGTGTCAACAGATGGCGATGTTGGCATCAAACGACTTTTAAAGACGTGTAAGCAATGAATTGTGCCAACCCATCTGTCCACTATTTATTAATTCATATGCATTTTTATTCAACACACACATGCACTGTCACACTCACTGTCAGCCAATCAGCTTCTTCTTGCTCAAGTATCAGCCAATCGGCTCTCGTCAAACTGTGTAAAAAAAAAAAACATGCAGCGGGACTGTGTGCGTCGTAGAGTTTGACATGTTTTCAGGAAGAATTATGCCATCAATCCTTTTATAGTTTTGATCCGTTTGCAATGCGTGACTTCTTTTTACACTTGTTTGACACATGAGAGTAACGTTTCAAAGGAGGGGTTCGGGTCGGGGTTTGAAACTCAGCTTGGGTTTTCAAATTAGTCAGTTTGGGACATGAAAAGATCGTTCGATTTTTGTGTCTTCGTGTCAACACCATGCCGAGGTCACGAGGGACTCAAAACAACCGACAAAAACAAGCAACTCTCTTGGCACTTTCTTACACACCAAATCAACATTTTGTTGACTTGTTTTTGCTCAGCTTTTGTTGTTACCCTCCTCAACACAAGGCACGCGCACACACACACACACACACACACACACACACACACACACACACACACACACACACACACACACACACGGGAGAAGCAGGAGAGTCCACCTCGTCCTCCCAAATAAGTTCCATTCATCACTGGCTGCACTCTAATGTAACTAATACTTTACAATTAGACCAGACACTACACGCGCACACACATGCCATCCATCTCCCTTACCACACGCATGCTCGCACTCACACACTTGCACGCGCACGCGGGAAATAGAGAATGCACTTGGGTCAAACATTGCAGGAGGTTTTTGGAAACACGTCTGAAAGGTAGAAGGCTTTCAAAATATCATGAAATGACCAAAAAAAAATGTTTTCAGTCTTTCATTCTGCATTCGGCACTTTTATGTTTTTTTTTCATGTTGCTTTTTTCTTGAAAAATGCTAACGTTTGGGTTGTGGATGGATTATAACAAAGAAGTGATCGCACTCATTCTTACTTTATTATTGATTAAAAGCTAAGGATACAAATCTAGTGCAAATATTAATGAACGCTTTCGGGTTTTCTATTTTGCCTCGTCACTTAGCTATCATGAAATTGTTCAAGGACAATTTGAGGTTGAAACAGGCTTGATTTTTTTTTTTAAATACACGTAACCTTTGGTAAAATTTCAAAAAAATGTCCCCTCAAGCCGAGATTGAAAAAAAATGCTCAGATGTATAAATTGTGCCATCTTTTTACTTATTCAACACAAAATGTCAAGTCATTGATACTTTGAAAAATAATTGACCATATGCAAATGTACACGTTAAAAAAATCATCCAATGAAATAGGCAACAAAAAAAACGTGCAACATGTGTTAGATGGATGAAAAAATGTGTATCGCTTCATCATAAAGACGGTGTAGTGTAATTTTTTTATGAAATGATGAGTTCTTCAATATTTGCTGCGTTACTCGGGGCAAAGGAATAAATAAATACAAACAAAGTGAGGTATGTCGGTCGATTGTTTGGTGTGTAGCGCCATCTTGGGAACTATAGGAGAACTGCAGCGTGCCTCCCTCATGATTTTTTTTTTTTGTGCCTCCCTCATGATACAAAATGAAACCCATCGGCCGTGACGTCACGCGTACTGAGTACGGTGGCAAAGAGCTGCTGGCACCACAAACAACGACGTGGTTCGAATTATGAATTATTATTAAGGTGGCTTGAATTATGATTCTAGTCCCGTAATGCAACTCGTGCTACCACACTGCAAACAAAATAATAATAATAATAATACTCGCTCACATTTAAAGACAAGTTCTGGAGTTTTTGTCACGGCCAACTCTGAGACTGAGATTTTAAAGTGACAGTGAATTTCCAAGACGACTAGATTCCTCATCATCATCTTGGTAGTTTCCTGTTGAGTTTTTTTTTTCCTCAAGTTCAACTGCTGGTTGTTGATTGTGTCACATCACCATGAAGACAAAGTGATCATATCAAACGCGTTTGATGTCGACAGAAGGCTGGGAGACTGATCTTCAACAACTGAGATGAACGCCTTCAACTAAAACGAGGCAAATGGCGCAAGTTTGACTCCCATGAACTCTCAGACGCCCTCCTGACCGTCGTGTTTTGAGTCCGAGACTGTAAATGTCGTTCGCCGTAAGGCCACAAAGAGAAGACATTTCGCCTCTCATGATTGTGTCACATCACCACGAAGACAAAGTGATCCTATCAAACCCGTTTGATGTCGACATAAGGCTGGGAGACTGATCTTCAACAACTGAGATGAACGCCTTCAACTAAAACGAGCCAAATGGCGCAAGTTTGACTCCCATGAGCTCTCAGACGCCCTCCTGACCGTCGTGTTTTGAGTCTGAGACTGTGAATGTCGTTCGCCGTAAGGCCACAAAGAGAAGACATTTCGCCTCTCATCTGAGAAGGCTTCATCACTTGACGCAACAACCCGCCCGAGGACGATTTCCGCTCCAAGAGGGAGGCACTGGTATCATTCTTTTGGGATGCAAAACGACAGTCGTTAAGATGTGATGAGTCGTTGGGTGGGAACGAAACGCCCTGATGAAAATGCTATCTCGTTGCAAATAGGCCTCAGCTCGTCAAAAGAGACGAAAAAGCGTCTGGAAGCAAAATCCACTTCGGAACAGGAGACAGGAGGCTCGTTGTGCGTGTTGTTTCGAGACGCTCCTTCCACCTTCACGCAGAAGGCCTTGCCTCGCTTCTTTGTCACATCATCGGGCTTGTCCTGCATGATTATCGACACATCGTTGTCCTCAGAACGTATTTGCTGGACAAAAAAAAAAAAAAAGTCGCGAGTAACTCTTGAGTCACTTCTGAATGACTATTTTTCATCAGAGCATGATCCACAACAGCAATGTGACAATTCCGACATTGCCCCAAATGATCACTTTGAGCAAAACAACGATCATGTCCATCGTTACGACTTTCAACATTCTGGATGGAGCACTCGTGAAACAGCACAACCGCTTCCGCAGGCACACGAGGCATTTTCTCAAGGCGGCTGAAATGTGAAAAATATTCGGGAGACACGGATGACTGCGCATGAGACAGCATTTATCAAGCTATCTATCTATCTATTTATTTGTCGTCTGTGAAGTCAACTGATTTAACGAGAGTCGAGCGGTCAAAGTAACATTCCTTCTTAAAATGACTCAAGTATACTGTATGTTGCATTCAAAGTACCCGGACAGGGAAAATGTATCCAAAAAGTGACTTTTGAGTCGTAAACACAAGCAGCAAAACACAAATTGTATGGGGGGGGGGCGAAAAAAGTCATTTCAGTTGGTGCAGCTGCTCGTGAGCACAAGACAACCAAGCAAGGCGGAGACATGCGCATGGCCCAGCCCAGGAGAGGCCTTTCTTCAGGGTCACTCGCTTTCTCGGAGACGTCTCATCTTGGTCATGAAGTTGTTGACGCACTTTACGTTCAGCGCGTTGCTCCACGAGCCGCCGCTTTTGAAATGCGAGCCCACGATGAAGCCGCTGGCGCCGAGGTAGCGGTCCACGTTGTCGTGAGTCACGCCGGAACCCACCAGGACCGGGAGACTCACTGCCCGCCTTACATCTTGAGCGGGATGACAAAGCACAGGAAGGGAGGCGCGCCTTGCATGAAGCGGACAAAATGGAGGTTTTGTCAAGAGAACGCCTCGGGGCCGGTCAGCCACGCCGACTGTTTTTTTTTGTTTTTTGGCACCGCAGCCCATCAGCACACTGTTACGCACCAGTGAGTTCTTTGGGGTCAGCCTGGGCTCCCGTGGACTTTCCGGTCAGGATGAGGCCGTCCGACAGAAAGAACTCTGCGGCTCGAGCCGTCTCGGCCACGCTCACGTCCGACGTCAGAGCGTGAGAGCTGTGGTCAGATGACACCGCGCACACACGCAGTCAGCATTTTCGAGTTATTGCTTTGCAGATGTAGAATTAGGGGGAGATTTATTCCTGCTTGTTTTTAGAGGTAAATTTAGAGTCACTATTTGTCGTCATTTATGAGGAGGTACCTGTGTTTCTTCTTGATGTCCGTGAGGACGAGGATGTCCTCCGCTCCGACGCTCTTGCGGTACCTCAGAAGTTCTCCGGCACAAGCGTGGACCAAACCCTCGTCGGCCACGTGGGAAAACACAAAGCCCTCCGCCCGGATGAAGTGGGCGCCTGACGCCACAACAATGGAGACACAGGAGCACGCTGTTACCTCGACGGTTCAACACAATCTGCTCCTGCGCGCCACATTGCCATAGAATTCATCGTTTGCCGACTCAATGGAACCCATATTAACTCGATGGACCAATTGATCATGCTTGTAAATAACAGCTAAAGTGAGTGACTAGCGCTGACCCAAATTTGTCCACATTTTCCCAGAATTGAGCGAGCGAACGGGATCACCTGATGCAAGAGCGACGGCGAGCGCCTGCTGGTTGGCGGCGGACAGAATCTGTACGCCGACGGGGATGGACGGACAGACATTCCTCACCGCCACACACACGGATGTCATGCACGCGCTCACCTCAGGACCCGGTGACAGCGAGTACGGGACGTCGTGCATGTTCTCCACTATCACACCGTCCTGCAGAGGCAAAGGAAGAGTTATTGAGAGCAGGTTAACAAGATTGAATGAAAAGATAGAAAACAACCTGGAATTCCAATAAAAACCAAAAGATAAAACATAACACAAGCGTGACAAAATGTATACGGTGGATGTGATTTGTGTCATTTCTAAAGACAGCCACATCCCATTTATGAAGGTGTGCTGGGATAGGCTCCAGCAGCCCCTGCGACCCCTGTGAGGATGAAGCGGTTCAGAAAAATGGATGGACGGAGGGATGATCTGATGTAAAGTGTGTTAATATGTTCCACTGTTACACGTTCTGCATACCAAGTGGCATGGATTTGTTGAACAGAAGCGTACAGAGAATAGACCCTTGGGGTACTCCGCACGTGATCTGTCCTTCCTCAGAGTGAAGAACACGAATGGACGGATTAGTATTTTGTGAGAGGGAACCTGCAGCTTACCAGTCCTGCGTTGCAGTATACGCTTGCCTCCCAACAGGCTTCCTCAATGATTTGGGACATTTTCAAGCATCCAAGCGGAGAGCCTGTCAAACGCAATAGTTGGACATCATGTGTTTTCCCATAGGAAATAATGAATATCCAACACGTTTATTCCAGGGTCGCAAAATGAACGGTGGTACGGTCATGCAATAAACAATACAATGCATCTTTATTTCGATGGTCACGCTGATACATTTAGGTGCTTAATGTAATCGATCGGTGTTACCTGGTAAAGCCTTCACGTGGATCATTCCAATAACGACACATTTTAGACGTCCAAAGAGGTCCAACCACTTCATGTTTATCACTGTGCTGTGTGCAGCGGCCAAGGGAGCAAAGAACGTTTTTTTGTCACGTGACCGTCTCAAAGTTCACAGACGTTTTACTGACACCCAACTAACACAGAGAAATCGAGGCACTTATGTTAAATTATAAACTTATGTTTTTTCTTTTATTTTATTTTTTTCTGTGAGGAGCAGTTTTACTCATCAATGACTTACTGTTCTTATAGAATACTCTTATTGGGAAAATGCGTTCCACATACCGGGTACATGTTAATTGTGGGTGCTTTGGCGAGAAAAAAAAATTGTGAATGCAGTCTGAATAATTTCTAACTCTGGCAACAAAAGGGCCAACTTGACGACAATTAGGACGCTTGCTAAATGGGGGACAGACGCTTCATCTGGCAACCCGCGGCAGAAATTGGCGCTACGGCGGAAAAGCTAACCTCGTCAAACTTGGCTCTGCAGTCGTGAAGGAACCACCGCGCCCGCCGTGGCGGCGAGCCACAATCCTCCCCGAGAGTCACCTAGCCGCATCGCTGCGCTTGTCACTCACATAACCGTCGTTTTTGTCTTAAACGGCGCTGAAAGTGCACCGACTCGGCGCTTTGTTTACATCTGACAAACTAGCCACGCGGTGCCGGCTACTTCCGCCTCCTTAGCTCCGCCCACGCAGCTGTCACCCGACCGTCACGCCTCCCTGCTTTTACCGGCCAAAATTCGCACCAAACGCCACTTTAGGAGCCCCTCGCTTCACTCCTGGAAACTTATCCCGAGCCAAAGTGTTCGTTTGCGGCGGTTGAGCGACCCGGCGGCGCGTTCCGAGGCGGAAGAAGGTCGTCGGGAGGCGGGGAAGAACAAGTTTGAGCGCCAAGTTAAATCGCCTCCTCCCCGCTTGACTTGACCGAGGCGCGCCCGCTTGCCGCCCCGCTCATTGCGACCCGCCGCCGGCCTGCTGCCACCACGCTGACGCAGAGCTCCTCCGAGACGACGAAAGCCACCCATCGCCTCCTTCATCGATGCACTGACCGATTGATCCATCGATTCAGTTCATGCTCGACATTGATTGTGACCGCGAGTGAACTTCAAGAGCAGCATCTTGAGGTGAGTACAACGAGCTAATCCGGCTAAGTGCCGGATTTAAGCATTTGAACGAGAAAGAAAGGCCACGTTAATAAACTGGAGCGCTTTATCGGACTATTATTAATCTGTATTTAAGTTGGTTTTGATGTTATTTGTGCAAAATAGTCGGCGATGCAGCTGTGTCGGCCATCATGCTGAATCGAGCCAGATGTCCAAAGTTTGAGAACGAAAATGAACACGTTACCGGGACAAATGTGCACAATCGGGTCATTCCGTGGATAGTTTGACTTGTTTCGTGATACGATGCGGCGTTTGGTGAGCGCATGTGTCGCTTTGGGCAACTTTGGGCAACTCTAAACGTCGCCAAGCTTCTTTCTCGTTTGCCCGCCAGGACGAGTTGGGCTTTGTCAGCTGAGCGTGGGGGTTGGGAGTGTGCTCATGTTCTCTCTTAAAACTCCCCCCCAAATAACTCGAAAACACTTTTCCTCGCAGGTTGACTCCCAAGAAGAATCACCAACCCCGGGACTAGAATGCTGGGAAGTCGGTGAGTGCTCATTTGTTGTCGTCTCCCACTCTTCGTCAGCGCCAAACTTTAGCCTCCTCGGCTAGTTAGCTTGCGGCTAAAGCACTTTCGTCTCGTTTGTTGGAGCTCGCCAGCGCGCCCAGTCCGCACTTTACTGACAACTTTGTGCTCTGCTGTGTCTATTCCTCTTCTCTCCCAGGGAAGTCACTGATCAAGAAGCCCAGTGTGTTGCTAGCGAGGCGGCCAACGTCAAGACGGCGAGGCCGAGGAAGAGGAAAGCAGATGTTGCCATTGTGAGTGGAGCCCCCTCTGTCTGTCTGTCTGTCTCTCTCTTTCTTTATCTGGAAAAAGACACATTTACACTTAGCAACACTCCAAGCATGGAATGTCGAACTGACCTGAATTTATTTGACTGCAGTATTTACAAGATGTGGATGAGGACGCGGCAGAGATGACCAAGAAGAAGCAGCGAGACTGTGAGGTAAAACCATAAGACTGGACCACGAGTTTCTCGCTTAGATGAATGGCCAATAAAAGATGGGGAAAAAAAACAGGAGTGTTGGGGCCAAGTTGGGGTCCTACTCAACAAATTGATTACGCCTTTCCAGATCATCAAGTCCAAATTTGACTGACACATTTCCCATCCCGCTCCCCAAAGTAATGTTTCCCACAGAGATCCATTGAATTTAAAATCACTTGGGCACTGGCCTCCTGCCAGTGTGATAGTCGGTCAAAAATGGCAGGAACTATGCTGCTAACATAACGCAAAGTATTTAATTTGATCCAGTAACTTAATACGCATGCCAATGTTAACTTTTCCGCAGTCTTTTATCCTTCCGTCTGCCATGGACACAAAATGGCTTCCGGGCCAAGTGGTCCAGAGGCAATACCCGAGCTGGGATGACAGCAATATAAAAGGAGTGTGACGTTTCACACTCACCTTTTCCAGCTATTTTGTTTGTTTAGGCCTGAGTGGAGCATTTGAATAGCACGTCGTTAGCACGTTTCCGAGTTCCAATCAGCCCCGAAGAATTCGAGCGGCATGACAATTCAACTATTTTACATAATTGGGGTTGATTGGAGATTAGGGTGATGTGATGTGATTTTCAGTTGATCAGTATCGGCTGAAAATCATCAAGTTTTTCATTTCTCTTCATTCTTACATATCACCAAGTGACGAGTGGAATTTTTTTATTTTATTTTTTTTGAATTTGAGTTGATCAAGACAGGCTATAGAAAAAATGTTTTGCATCATCATTTAATGCCACAAAAAGGTTTTTGTTTGCTTTATTTGAGCTACTGCTGCATGTTGACTTGTATAAAAAGATGTTATGTGGGGATGTCTTTATCCACACACACACGTACACACACACACACCCCTCAAAAAAAGAAAATGACCATTGAGCCAATTTCTTGAGATTGTGACTTCCAAATGTCACATTTTCCCTGTATTGTATCTGTGAAGGCGGCCTGGCGGTCCAAGGAGGGTGCGTACGCAAGTCCTCCGCGCGGGTTGTCCACGCTGGATGGCAAAGACGAGCGTGAGCAGCAGATCACCTTGATCAACGCCGGCTTCCCGCACTACAACCTCACGAACGTCTTTGCTACGCCCGTACATTGCGCGCCGCTGCCTGCGCTCTGGTCCGTACGCAACATCACAGCTGCACTACTGCTCATACACACAAACAAATGCATGAACAACTTCTTGTAGCCCTCCTACTGCTGAGCTTTTATGCTGGCTATATTCATAGTTGTGCTTCCTATACTTCCCTATACCTTAGTTACTGTTACTTAAACGAAATCTTTTGTGCTATTTTAGTACCGTAGTGCTATACTTGACTTGCTACTACTATGACTTCTGAGAGCACAACTTTTTTACTTTTATTGCTGCTCCGACTACTTTTAGCAGCACTCCTCCTGTCGTACGACGACTTCTTCCGCCACGAGCGCTACCCCTATTGTACTTCTTAAACACCCCGTTGTACCACTTTTGATTGCATGAATGCTATTACTTCTTTTGTCATTAGCTACTCTTTTTCATACCATTCCATCCTCAACCACTCATTCTACGGCCCCTACCTCACATAGAATTACTCTCTGTACGACTGCTTCTTATAGCCCTACAATTTGTACTACTACTATTTCTTACGGCACTACCTAGTGTGAGTACTTCTTGTGCTACTCGTCCTGATATTACTTCTTATACCAATACTACTACTTGTCCCACAACTGCTTGTACCATGACTACAGGTTGTCATCCTACGACTACTGCTCCTGCCAAGTGGTCCTAAGCTGTGTTTTGTCCCGCATGTTTGCGTTCAGCTGGGCGAGTAAGGACGTGGTGTGGAACAACATGCTGGCCAAGGATAAGACATACACGCGCAACGTCAACATGATGGCCAAACATCCTCACCTTCAGCCCAAGATGAGAGCTGTGCTGCTCGACTGGCTCATGGAGGTGACCGCGGGCGGGTCTGCTTGTTTCATTGCAGGGGGCGTACGTCCCGAACAAAGCCAAATTAATTCAAAACCATTTTTTAAAAGTTTGCCGACGGTCGCTGTGATTATGACTAATTGTCAGTTCGGTCTGAAACAGACCCATAACGCGGAAGGGAGATTTAAAGAGCCAAATCCCATTTTTGGCTAGCTTCATGCTATATTAACACCGTCAATATCTTCCCAATCGGTAACGGCGGAGTTGTTCCCGGGGTACCGTGATAAATTGCCAGTCGATCGCACTGTGAAATGTTTGAAGTACTTGACGGCGTTTGTTTTTTTGGCTCTGGAGGTGAGCGAGGTGTACAAGCTTCACCGCGAGACGTACCACCTGGCTCAGGACTACTTTGACCGCTTCATGGCCACGCAGACCAACGTCTTCAAGTCCACGCTGCAGCTCATCGGAATCAGCTGCCTTTTCATCGCAGCCAAAGTCGAAGTACGCGCCGCATCATCTTGCACTCACAGTGGTCGTTTGGTATTCTATCAGCTCAGGCGGAGGAACATGTAACTGTCTTTTAACACGAGCCAAAACTTGCTACTATTCCAACCCTTCTGCCCGAACTTTTTCTGCCAATACTTTTTTTGCTACTTCTGTTGCTACTCATACAAGTACTGATCCAACTACCAGCGCTTCGACTTGTTCTCATCGAGAATTGTATTGAACTGTACCACTCGCGCGACTTCCACTCTCACTACTTTGTATACTTTTTACAACCGCTTCCACTGACACACGACTTCTTTGTCAACTCTTACTTCAAATGTGATTCGTATCATTCGGTATGATTTGTGGAGTTGTTTATTCGTGTCGGATGCGCGTGGGAGCGGCCCGCATTAGCGGGAGGGCTCACGATGTGAAAATGGCTCCAAGAACCGATCCTTTTGCCCGGGCAGGAGATGTACCCTCCCAAAGTGCACCAGTTTGCCTACGTGACGGACGAAGCCTGCACCGAGGACGAGATCCTCAGCATGGAGGTCATCATCATGAAGGTGAGTGGCGCCGCGTCGCCACGTCTCGGCCCGAGCTTGACGTTTTTGTCGTCGCCGCGATCAGGAGCTGAAGTGGAGTCTGAGCCCGCAGACGCCCGTCTCCTGGCTCAACGTCTACATGCAGGTGGCCTACCTCAAAGAGTCGGACCAGCTGCTCATCCCCAAATATCCGCAGGCCACCTTTACGCACATCGCCGAGGTGAGACCTTTTGTTTTTGAATCGATGGGTTTTTATTCCAGTTTCGAGTTGTTGTTGTTGTTGTTGTTATTTCGCATGAGACAAACGTGTGGCGTTTTTGAATCGATGGCTTTTTATTCCAGTTTCGAGTTGTAGTTGTTGTTGTTATTTCGCATGAGACAAACGTGTGGGGAATACGAATGTGCTCCCAAAATGAACCGGACTTTGACCCTTTCATTTGACAATGAATACTTGAGGCAATCGCTGGGTCCAAGCGTCCTTGGACGTGTGGTGCTTAAGGAGTTTTTCGGTGCGTTCGTGCACCGCTACGACGCATTTAGCAGGGTGACTCTTCAGCATCACATCTGAAGGATATTTTCACCGTTTCAAAACACACCAGACTGCTGATGTCACTGGCGTATTCTGCGTTATAAACTCAACCCACCCCAGTCTGTACTCGGACAGTTGCTCAGAAGGTAGAAATTCAAAAGCTCGCCCTCTTAGCATTAGCCAATGTTAAAACGAGGCTTTGACGCTGCCGATACCGATTGTCCACGAGTGTGTGATCAGCCAATACCAATCACAGGGAATTTTTCATGTTAGAGCTACAACTACCAATTTTTCTTCGATTAATCACTCATTTTTTTCCAATTAATCCGAAAAAAAAAAAAAAACATTTGTTAAATTTCTATCCCTTTATTATTTAAAAACATTGCTTTTAATAGACGTTGCAGAAAAGGCACACTTTATCATTGAGTCACGATGTTGGTCAGTAACATGCCCGAAAATAGGGGGGATGTTATCTCCCCCCCCCAGTTCCCCAAGTGAAAACAGCTGTTTGCAAATCTCCTATACAGATTAAACACAAAGATCATGACGACTCGTGTTTACATAGAGCCATATCCCACTTAGAATCAAACCGAATGACCAAATGGAAAGAAATTTCATTTGGCTTTAAAAGGCGGAGTTGAATATCGACCGATGATGATCGGCCTCCGCTCGATCGGAGCATCCCGACTTCAAAAGCGTGTCCAAGTGTCTTCATCCTATTTTGATAGATAACTTTTTGTGTGTGTGTGTGCATTTTTTGCATGTGCAGCTCCTGGATGTGTGCATGCTCGACATGCGCTGCCTGGAATTCTCCAACGGCGTCTTGGCCGCCTCGGCCCTCTTCCACTTCTCGTCCCTGGAGCTGGTCGAGAACGTGTCGGGTACGTCGAAGCGACCTCATCGTCGCCCCGCTCCCTCGCTAACCGCCACCCTTTGGTTTTGTATAGCGTTAAAAAGGGCGGAGCTGGAGGAATGCGTGCGGTGGATGGTGCCGTTCGCCGTGGCGCTGCGCGAGTCGGGCGGCTCGCCCATGAAGACCTTCTCCGGCGTAGCTGCCCAGATGGTCCGCTAGGGGGCGCGCCTCATGGGAGTGGCAGGGAAATTTACTGGAGCAATGGACCTAGCTGACTAACTAGCATGTGCGATGTTCTGCCACCTCCTAAAAGGAAGGATTTAAAGAAAATAGTTTGGGGTATCTTTATGATGGTCAGGAGGGAAATTCACTGCAGCTTTCTGTCTTTGCCTTTCAATTACTTGACGCATTTTCTTCCACTCAGGCGATAACAACAACTGCATGCTGCGCAACATCGTTCACTGTCACCGCAGCCTCCATTCCAGGTTTGTCGGAGACCCCTTTTTCCCCCCCACTCACTCTCGCTCGCACCGTAGCTATTAATTCTCCTCGCAGGCTGCTTGATGGAAGGCTAACAACATTTTCTATTGTTGATACACTTCTGACTCAAGCTGCATGCTCTCAATTACAGATGAGAGATAGTCGGTAACCTGGTTACAAATGGGCTTCACTGTGCGTAGATGATGTCAGGCACCTTTATCAAAGTGGCGTGGAAAGAGGAGAAAGGAGGAGCTCCTTCTTCTCGCAGCACTGATTTTATCTTAAGCGCGCGTTATATGGTTCTCGATAAATTCTCACAGTTCAGTTGACAGGGGGGCTTGTCTTCTCCCTCCAGCCTAGTCAATTAAAGAAGCAACGTGTAATTTGCCTCTGGAGAGCTGCTGTTTGGATATGTTCGCGTGGAGCATCTTTCGCATCTTCTGCTTTGTGATGCACCAGGGAAGTGGTTTTGTTAAAAAAAAAAAAAAAAGTTTTATTAATGTTCCCGGGGAGTACTACTCAGCGCCCTTCGGACAACATGAGTAGCCCGTGGGTCTGTTGTGAAAATAGCTCACCTGTGATTGGACACTGTGACTTACTAAGAATTAAAACAAGAAGATGAACATTTATTTCTTCAAACTTCACATGGTGCACGATTCTCCTGGAGCAAATATTCTGCTGAAAAATAAGATTGTGCTCAATGGGGAAAAATGCTATTTTAGTTTACCCTCATCCTGAAAAAAAAAAAAAGCATTTTGAAGCGCATGTGTCGCTTTGGGCAACTTTGGGCAACTCTAAACGTCGCCAAGCTTCTTTCTCGTTTGCCCGCCAGGACGAGTTGGGCTTTGTCAGCTGAGCGTGGGGGTTGGGAGTGTGCTCATGTTCTCTCTTAAAACTCCCCCCCAAATAACTCGAAAACACTTTTCCTCGCAGGTTGACTCCCAAGAAGAATCACCAACCCCGGGACTAGAATGCTGGGAAGTCGGTGAGTGCTCATTTGTTGTCGTCTCCCACTCTTCGTCAGCGCCAAACTTTAGCCTCCTCGGCTAGTTAGCTTGCGGCTAAAGCACTTTCGTCTCGTTTGTTGGAGCTCGCCAGCGCGCCCAGTCCGCACTTTACTGACAACTTTGTGCTCTGCTGTGTCTATTCCTCTTCTCTCCCAGGGAAGTCACTGATCAAGAAGCCCAGTGTGTTGCTAGCGAGGCGGCCAACGTCAAGACGGCGAGGCCGAGGAAGAGGAAAGCAGATGTTGCCATTGTGAGTGGAGCCCCCTCTGTCTGTCTGTCTGTCTCTCTCTTTCTTTATCTGGAAAAAGACACATTTACACTTAGCAACACTCCAAGCATGGAATGTCGAACTGACCTGAATTTATTTGACTGCAGTATTTACAAGATGTGGATGAGGACGCGGCAGAGATGACCAAGAAGAAGCAGCGAGACTGTGAGGTAAAACCATAAGACTGGACCACGAGTTTCTCGCTTAGATGAATGGCCAATAAAAGATGGGGAAAAAAAACAGGAGTGTTGGGGCCAAGTTGGGGTCCTACTCAACAAATTGATTACGCCTTTCCAGATCATCAAGTCCAAATTTGACTGACACATTTCCCATCCCGCTCCCCAAAGTAATGTTTCCCACAGAGATCCATTGAATTTAAAATCACTTGGGCACTGGCCTCCTGCCAGTGTGATAGTCGGTCAAAAATGGCAGGAACTATGCTGCTAACATAACGCAAAGTATTTAATTTGATCCAGTAACTTAATACGCATGCCAATGTTAACTTTTCCGCAGTCTTTTATCCTTCCGTCTGCCATGGACACAAAATGGCTTCCGGGCCAAGTGGTCCAGAGGCAATACCCGAGCTGGGATGACAGCAATATAAAAGGAGTGTGACGTTTCACACTCACCTTTTCCAGCTATTTTGTTTGTTTAGGCCTGAGTGGAGCATTTGAATAGCACGTCGTTAGCACGTTTCCGAGTTCCAATCAGCCCCGAAGAATTCGAGCGGCATGACAATTCAACTATTTTACATAATTGGGGTTGATTGGAGATTAGGGTGATGTGATGTGATTTTCAGTTGATCAGTATCGGCTGAAAATCATCAAGTTTTTCATTTCTCTTCATTCTTACATATCACCAAGTGACGAGTGGAATTTTTTTATTTTATTTTTTTTGAATTTGAGTTGATCAAGACAGGCTATAGAAAAAATGTTTTGCATCATCATTTAATGCCACAAAAAGGTTTTTGTTTGCTTTATTTGAGCTACTGCTGCATGTTGACTTGTATAAAAAGATGTTATGTGGGGATGTCTTTATCCACACACACACGTACACACACACACACCCCTCAAAAAAAGAAAATGACCATTGAGCCAATTTCTTGAGATTGTGACTTCCAAATGTCACATTTTCCCTGTATTGTATCTGTGAAGGCGGCCTGGCGGTCCAAGGAGGGTGCGTACGCAAGTCCTCCGCGCGGGTTGTCCACGCTGGATGGCAAAGACGAGCGTGAGCAGCAGATCACCTTGATCAACGCCGGCTTCCCGCACTACAACCTCACGAACGTCTTTGCTACGCCCGTACATTGCGCGCCGCTGCCTGCGCTCTGGTCCGTACGCAACATCACAGCTGCACTACTGCTCATACACACAAACAAATGCATGAACAACTTCTTGTAGCCCTCCTACTGCTGAGCTTTTATGCTGGCTATATTCATAGTTGTGCTTCCTATACTTCCCTATACCTTAGTTACTGTTACTTAAACGAAATCTTTTGTGCTATTTTAGTACCGTAGTGCTATACTTGACTTGCTACTACTATGACTTCTGAGAGCACAACTTTTTTACTTTTATTGCTGCTCCGACTACTTTTAGCAGCACTCCTCCTGTCGTACGACGACTTCTTCCGCCACGAGCGCTACCCCTATTGTACTTCTTAAACACCCCGTTGTACCACTTTTGATTGCATGAATGCTATTACTTCTTTTGTCATTAGCTACTCTTTTTCATACCATTCCATCCTCAACCACTCATTCTACGGCCCCTACCTCACATAGAATTACTCTCTGTACGACTGCTTCTTATAGCCCTACAATTTGTACTACTACTATTTCTTACGGCACTACCTAGTGTGAGTACTTCTTGTGCTACTCGTCCTGATATTACTTCTTATACCAATACTACTACTTGTCCCACAACTGCTTGTACCATGACTACAGGTTGTCATCCTACGACTACTGCTCCTGCCAAGTGGTCCTAAGCTGTGTTTTGTCCCGCATGTTTGCGTTCAGCTGGGCGAGTAAGGACGTGGTGTGGAACAACATGCTGGCCAAGGATAAGACATACACGCGCAACGTCAACATGATGGCCAAACATCCTCACCTTCAGCCCAAGATGAGAGCTGTGCTGCTCGACTGGCTCATGGAGGTGACCGCGGGCGGGTCTGCTTGTTTCATTGCAGGGGGCGTACGTCCCGAACAAAGCCAAATTAATTCAAAACCATTTTTTAAAAGTTTGCCGACGGTCGCTGTGATTATGACTAATTGTCAGTTCGGTCTGAAACAGACCCATAACGCGGAAGGGAGATTTAAAGAGCCAAATCCCATTTTTGGCTAGCTTCATGCTATATTAACACCGTCGATATCTTCCCAATCGGTAACGGCGGAGTTGTTCCCGGGGTACCGCGATAAATTGCCAGTCGATCGCACTGTGAAATGTTTGAAGTACTTGACGGCGTTTGTTTTTTTGGCTCTGGAGGTGAGCGAGGTGTACAAGCTTCACCGCGAGACGTACCACCTGGCTCAGGACTACTTTGACCGCTTCATGGCCACGCAGACCAACGTCTTCAAGTCCACGCTGCAGCTCATCGGAATCAGCTGCCTTTTCATCGCAGCCAAAGTCGAAGTACGCGCCGCATCATCTTGCACTCACAGTGGTCGTTTGGTATTCTATCAGCTCAGGCGGAGGAACATGTAACTGTCTTTTAACACGAGCCAAAACTTGCTACTATTCCAACCCTTCTGCCCGAACTTTTTCTGCCAATACTATTTTTGCTACTTCTGTTGCTACTCATACAAGTCCTGATCCAACTACCGGCGCTTCGACTTGTTCTCATCGAGAATTGTATTGAACTGTACCACTCGCGCGACTTCCACTCTCACTACTTTGTATACTTTTTACAACCGCTTCCACTGACACACGACTTCTTTGTCAACTCTTACTTCAAATGTGATTCGTATCATTCGGTATGATTTGTGGAGTTGTTTATTCGTGTCGGATGCGCGTGGGAGCGGCCCGCATTAGCGGGAGGGCTCACGATGTGAAAATGGCTCCAAGAACCGATCCTTTTGCCCGGGCAGGAGATGTACCCTCCCAAAGTGCACCAGTTTGCCTACGTGACGGACGAAGCCTGCACCGAGGACGAGATCCTCAGCATGGAGGTCATCATCATGAAGGTGAGTGGCGCCGCGTCGCCACGTCTCGGCCCGAGCTTGACGTTTTTGTCGTCGCCGCGATCAGGAGCTGAAGTGGAGTCTGAGCCCGCAGACGCCCGTCTCCTGGCTCAACGTCTACATGCAGGTGGCCTACCTCAAAGAGTCGGACCAGCTGCTCATCCCCAAATATCCGCAGGCCACCTTTACGCACATCGCCGAGGTGAGACCTTTTGTTTTTGAATCGATGGGTTTTTATTCCAGTTTCGAGTTGTTGTTGTTGTTGTTGTTATTTCGCATGAGACAAACGTGTGGGGAATACGAATGTGCTCCCAAAATGAACCGGACGTTGACCCTATCATTTGACAATGAATACTTGATGCAATCGCTGGGTCCAAGCGTCCTTGGACGTGTGGTGCTTAAGGAGTTTTTCGGTGCGTTCGTGCACCGCTACGACGCATTTAGCAGGGTGACTCTTCAGCATCACATCTGAAGGATATTTTCACCGTTTCAAAACACACCAGACTGCTGATGTCACTGGCGTATTCTGCGTTATAAACTCAACCCACCCCAGTCTGTACTCGGACAGTTGCTCAGAAGGTAGAAATTCAAAAGCTCGCCCTCTTAGCATTAGCCAATGTTAAAACAAGGCTTTGAAGCTGCCGATACCGAGTGTCCACGAGTGTGTGATAAGCCAAT